GCCTCTGTGGTGTTGAGCACCAGGCAGGCACCAGGCAGGCACAGTGGGTTGGTCAAAGACCATGATTGAGATACGAGAGGTACCTGGTTCAAGTCCTGCCTGGGAGCGGTTTTTCCAGCTGTGCTGCTACCCACAGTCAACTGGGAACTTGTGGCCAGGCACAAGGGGTACATGGATGCAGCTAATGGGGTCGTTTTCGGCACTTGTGCCAGTGGTTGTGAGGCTTACCCACTCACCCCCACCGTTAGGCGCTGCATCTGCCGCTAGGGTTTATCGGGTGTTAGCGGCCGTCGTGAGTTCCCTTCGGGAACGGATACGATAATTTACTTTTTTTTTTACTTTTTTAACACAGCCTTTCGCCTCTGTTGTGTGTGTATGTATGTATGTATGTATGTATGTATGTATGTATGTATGCGTAACTAGGCTGGGCTTGTGTTCATGTGCGAGGGAATGTTGAAAATTATTTTTTATATATTTGTTGTCACATGATCGCAGACCAAAACGGGCTGTCAGTCGACAAGCAGTCGATAATCAGTAGGTAGCATTCGTTCAAGTTGATACGGAATTTGGGTCAGTCGTTCACCCCTATAATAAAGACTAAGGATCAAGAGGATTTAAGCAGGACTGACATCCAAGATGAGCAAGGCATACAAAAACAAAAACAAGAAGACTTTAAAAACAACTCCCTAGTATAATGTAGGTCAGAACCAAGGCTAACCCCATACCGTTCAAATGGTCTTGTGCAAGACCAGGGTCGTGAGTCTGCCAACCGTGGAGGTTGTAGCAGTGTCTGCTCTAGGATTGCAGGACAGCCGGGTACACGTGTACCTGGCGCAACCATTTCAACCGGGTCGGAGCCGGGTACACATGTACCAGGCGCTGTCTCACCTGCCGAGTCACATGCTTTAACTGGTTGTTGGTTTATTTTAATTCGGACAATAAACGGGAACTAGGCCCAATGATATAAAGGCGAATGGATAAGCCGCATTTAGAAAAGAGAGGACAGGAATTAGAAAATTACGAAAGAAGAAGAAGTATCTGACACATACACGCCATGTAGTCAGTCCTTTCAAAGTTCGAAAGTGTAAAGTACCAACCGGGTCACAGGTGACCCGGTACTATATTTTCAACCGGGTCCAAGGGCCGCCCAACCGGGTGGATTACCCGGCTCAACCGGCGCTGGAGCAGACACTGTGTAGTAAGAAGCGCTGTCTTCAAACACAGTGAGTCGTCCGCCTAGTAACACGCTGCCAACCAAACAACAAGACGGTTCGAAATAGGAACATTTGACAGCAAAATCGTGTAGACCCAAACCGACCATCAGCGTGGGTTGTTCACTCAAAACATGTTTGTGGAAGGAAGCTGGCATGTTGAAGTTTGCCAGAGTCGATCGAACTGAGCCACTCCTTTCTGTTGGCCCGTTGCCTCCACGTTGCCTGATTTTTCGTTTCAAATTTTGGTGTCACAGAGGTGGCTGCAAACAGGAACAGTTTAGGAGTGCAAAAGTTCACCCCGAGTTCTAAAATTAGGCAATTGCTATCGCTCCACGATGGCCAGTACAGAGAAACAAGAAGTCTTGTCTGTGCTTCCATTAGTTTTCATTCGTATACGGTGCTCTATTGGCGAGAGGCGAACCGCTGGTTACCTGCGACAAGTTTTTTTGGAAAGACGTTGAACTCATCAAATCGCAGTGAGAAGCAACACGTCAAAACTCGCCTGCTTGTTATAGCGCTTCTGGTCATCGCAGAGCCATGAACTTTTGGCTTGGAGTAAAACACATCATAGTCTCAATGTGACATAATTTGAAATATGTTTTCCAATCAAAATACTAAGAGGGAAAGTGAACATTGAGCCCATTCCGGTTTGCGACCTATGTCCTATTTGAAAGCGTCTCCTGACTACAGTCATGCGCAGTGCAGTGCTGGCCAGAGCTAGAGAAATCCAACATTATGAATAAAGCAGCGCGGAGTTGAGTGCACAGAGCAGCATGTGTAGTGCTAGGGCTGCGTAGTGCCCTCACTATTCAATTCACGAGGTTGGATTTCTTTGCCCAGCACCGTAGCCTCAGGCGTACATGTAGGTAGTTCATGCTGGAAAACAGTTCCAAATAATTGCACCGTCCCCTCTGCCCACCCCAGCATGACACCACGCGAAGTGAGCACGAAACTACTTACGGGAAAGCTGGCCAGACTTCTTGCAACTGCTTGGTCGTTACTCAAAACGGTTTAACCCATCACTTGTCCCTGTCCTAAGGACCTTTGACACTGGAGGTTCGCAACATGGAGACGAAAGGCAAGTACATGACATTGTACAATAATTGCCGCTTGTTTCTAGGAAGACTTCCACGCGTTCTGACTCGTCCGCACTCTTGACGCTTGTACTAATAGGCCATCACCACCAAACTACTGGGACACAGGAGGGCTAGCAGTACATTTCTCCCGACTCGCTTAGCGCTCCAAGTCAGACAAAGGAGGGATTTTGAAGTGCCAGTGTGCTCCTTTACGGAATGTCGCGTAGCGAATGATGCCTTTCCATTCGTCTGTTTTGGCACAAGCCACGTCCAGTCAGTGGCGGCGGCACAGTTCCGAGAGCCTGAAGGAAGCATGACCGTTCCACTTTGTGATTCGCCTCTACGTAGATCTACTATTCCGAAAAGGATGCACCCATACAGGGTGCGGGGAGTGCTCATATATATGTAGGTCATATGCCGCGGGCCCGCGGGGTGCACAACAGGCTGTAGCAGCAATGTGACTCTCTCATTCTCTCTCTGAAATGTAGGACCAGCGAAGCATAGGAGCGAAACCGAACTAATTACTTCGGCAGCATGCGAAGCCAGAACTGACTCGTCCAAGCGCTTTCTTGTAAACCTAAACGCCATACCAATACAATCATAATAATTATAATGACTGTGTACATGTAGCAAAATGGCGGTAGATGTAGGCCTATCCTTCGCCCAGGTGTCGGGTACTGGGTACCGGGTAGGGAGTGTGAAGGGCTTTCACGACTGCCTGGTCTACACCAGGCGGAGGCCTATCTACACTACAGTCAGTACAGGTCTAGGCCTGGGGCCTAGGCTAGGGAGTCGTTAAAGCCAGTTTTCACCACTCCCTGGCCTTTACTGCAAAACCAAGCATGGCTAGTGTAGTAGTGATCATGAAACGAGTAGATCTACTTGTGCCAAGTAGTTAGTTAGTTGTGGCGCGTTCTCGTTGTGCGGTTTTTGGCGCAGTGCTTCCACATGCCGGCTTGACTGACATTCAGGATCACACAGCAGTACAGAGGGCCGGATCTTGATCTTGACGTCGGTGCTGGTGGTGGTGACAAGGTCAAGATTCAGCAGGCAAACCCGAATAGACAGGAAGTAGGTACTAGGACGTTCATCAGTAAAACCATGAAAACTGGCACTGTGAATCACGGTAACAGATTTTGCACGGGTATCTAATCGATTCTGGAAAAGATTACACATCCCTCAATCAAGCAGAAAGGACCAAAGGCCTAGGGGCAAAGGTTGAAATGCTACCCGTAGTTGTCCCGATTCGAACAATCACTGCACTGGTATGGTGTCCAGCTAACAATACAGTGTGTGTAGTTACTAGTACTAGTACTACTAGTAGTAGGTCTACATGCAGTAGCTATGCTATGCATGTACTAGTAACTACACACACTGTACTAGTCTAGCCTCTACTCTAGCTAGTCTAGGGTCCGGGAGTCAAAAGCCCGGGCTTTTTAAATTAAAGACTCCCCCCCCCCCCCCCCTGGTTGATAATGATACTCATGAGTCATGCCATGGCAATGATGGCAGTCATGCTCATGTCGTCATGACTGAGCTCAGCTCAGCTCATAACACTCTCACAGAGCATGATCAGCTAGTTGAGTAGTGCATGATATCCTAGGTAGACCCAGGTGCTCGAAGTCCGTACATGGTATCCTAAGTTCGTACGCCCATAATTTCATGTTCTGTTATTGTATTCGACTCAAATATTTTATGGAGGGGACAGTGTGGTATGTTCTCCTCGCGTACCAATTTTCAGGGATCTACGATCAGCAGAAGTCCCATACCACGGGAGTGGGTTTTCGAGTGTCCATACGAAATACAAATTGGGTTACATTTCATGCAAAAATCAACTTTGCCAAGACCGATTTCGAACGGACACAGCGTCAAACAGACCTTCACTCAATCATCAAGAGCCAGCTTAGAGCTGACAATGGCCAGAGGAGAAGAATTTACAGAGAACCACCAATCCTTGCAGAAAGGTTGACACTCCTGGCATCTCCACCACTGTTTTCCCGCGGTTTTCACAGCGCAGCTGCTTCTTCTCTGAGCCGACTAAAAACAGCTTGCATTTCGGCAACAAACTACGCTTTTGCAAGAAATACCGGTGGAGGCACATGCCAAACATATCCCTTCGGTGCTTTCGTCGTAACCGAGGGATTGCAAGTTAGCAATTAGCAGAAATATGCGTGTATTTCGAGTCACCTCTGATCAGTACGGACTTAGAGTACCCTCTGCGACACCAAATTTTGATATGAAAAATGAGCGAACTCCAGAGAAACAGATCGGATCGAAAGATGGCCTGGTTCAATCGAGCCTGGCCTCAAAACAAACTTGGACAAGATACCTTCCATCCACGAGCAGGATTCTGGCAAGTGATCATTGCTAGTGTGAGTTTCAGCTCGGCAAACACACACTGTAAACGTGTACGGACTTCGAGCACCTGGGTCTACTGACTGTACGTCTGTAGTCTGTAATACAGACAGAAACGTAGATCTACTGCATGCTGTACTCGAAAGATGTAGCCGGTGTACATGGTGTATGTCTACCATGGTGTAGGCTACTGACTGTAGACTGTAGTGCTGTACAGTGTGGTCGGACGCTGCCACTCGACTCAACGACTGTACTGCTGAATGTCCTGATTTTTGTGATGCACTGGTGATGGACAGTCGGTCATACTCATAGGATCAGTGCAGTACAGTCAGTACGGTGACTAGTGTCTTGTAGATTCTACATTTTCCTCCTTTCGTTTTCGTGTGACTGTTGCAACATTGACGAGGTCAAACTCAAAGCTCGTGAATCTGATCGTACTTTCAATCTACGTGAGTTTCTTCTGCTTGAACATTCGCAATACCAGGGGCAGTGGGTTGACATAGCTGGCTTGTCTGCGTGGTCGACTGGATCGTTGACTGCGGGCAGCCTGAGTAGAATCGATAGCGATAAACGCTAACGACGGAACTCTATCTCCTTAGTAGTTGCGCCCAGTGCGTGGGTTACTGTAACACAGTCTGCTGTCGTCGACACTCAACGCAGGAACGCACGGATCACCTCTACTGGCTCTTGCTCTCTCGATGCGCCGAAACGTCAGAGAGAGAGAGGCAGCGCAGCATCCTTAGTTTCAGCCGGACGATCCTCCAGCGGTGTGGCGTTGTCATCTGGCTGGGAAGATCAAAGTCGTTGTTGGGTATTGCCTATTATCTGTCCACAGCGATCCCTGAGTCCAGTGGACCTCAGGCCGACGTTGAGTGTTTGCACAGTTGCCAACAGGCACGATGGGGTGTATTGTTAGTGTGGATGATAAGGTGGCCATTGAACGGAGTCGGCGGATCGACATGGGATTGAAAGAGGAGGGAACGGCAGGCGAACGTGTAAAGCTACTGTTATTAGGTGAGTTGGGTAATAATATGAACAGAACTTTTGTGTGGTTGTTTGTGCGATGTTGTTTCTTCTGCTGCCCTGGTTTTGAAAGTGCCAGTTATGTTTGTGTTTCCACTTCCATCGCGAATACTTCGCTGTAGTGTGCGCTGCAGTGCAGCGCGCATCCGGGCCCAGCCTGACGCTGCTTTCTGGAAACTGCAAGTCGGTTAGCAACACGATGATTATGTGGATTTACTCTCGGAAGTGTCGATCTATGCTTGGCATAGTCCAGGGCCCAGGGCTCGCGATCGCGTTATAACGTTAGAGAGCAGCTTGTTGTTCTTTTCCGAATGCTTCACGTGGACGGCTGGCGTTCTTGATTTCACTCATCTCAGTCGGTCTTGTCAAATCCAGACAACAGAAATCAGTAGGATTTTTGCCATTGACTTTGTGTGTCCCTTTTGTCCCTAGTCTTGCAGCAGTCGTTGTCGGTGACAGTCCGCCGCACGCCACTTTGTCTTTGATCGATCCCGCTGCTCTGATTTAGTCGCTGGCGTATGATGTAGTATGTACAATCATGTGCATGCAACCCAACTAAACACGTCGTACATCGTTTCATGTTGGCAGTGTTGCGCGCTGAAGCCTTTTCTCGCAACGTAACGTTGTTGTCCTCACCTCTGTTCTAGGTGAAGCGGCCAAAGTCAGATCATTGACACGGAAATCCCAAGCATTCTGTTGTGAGTGCTAAATCGCAGACATGTTTTCATGGTTTTCTTTCTGTTCTGATCGCCAGCCCAAAGATCGTATAGTGCGGAAGAAGATTATAAAATTTTGATAATTGCTCCTCTGTAATTTTAAAAGCATCATACGGTATGTGCCATTGCCTCCATCCACCTGTACTTCCTTAACTAAGGGTCTTGTAATCCTTGTCGATGCCAACGTAAAAATGAGCTGTAACTAGCCATTTCCCACCCAAGTCAGGATAGCCCGTTACCCGTCATACCGTGTGTTGAATAATAATTACAGTCGGACCTCGCATAATCGTACACGTCCGTTTTCCAGAAAACAATCCGGATAGGCGAGGCAACCGGATAATCGAACACACGTGCTGTATGTGTGCATGGCATATGTTGTAAATCGGTAACCAACGATGGCGAGGGATCCGGACAAACGAGGACCAGATAAGCGAGGTCTGACTGTATTCTTATGTGCATGTATAGAAGAGGTTGGTGCGATTTCGGCGATACTTGGGGAATTGTGTGTTGCTCCCTACGTGGGATCTTGCGCTTTTCCTGACGACTTGAATTCTCACTTGACTGACTCACGACTGCCATCCAGAGCACATGAGAAGTCCATCGAACCTTCCACTCGGCAAACCTGCAAGAAAGCTCCACTCCCTGCTCAATACACAGTGTTTCGGGGAATTCACCCCTCATCAGTTGAGCTTGAGTAGGCTGAGGAAGAGAGCACTATGTCTATGTAAGTGGTGCTCTTCAGACGCAATCTTCCTCAGCCTACTCAAGCTCAACTGGCGAGGGGTGAACTCCCCGAAACACTGTGCGTTGAGCAGGGAGTGGTGCTTTCTTGCAGGCTTGCCATGTGGAAGGTTCGGTGGACTTCTTGTGTGCTCTGGACGGCAGTCGTGAGTCAGTCAAATGAGAATTCAAGTCGGCAGGAAAAGTGCGAGCTCCCACACAATGTACCAGACTGTATATTGAACAAAATTGATAGGTCTCTTCTCCCCTGGGGTGCTTTTTTCCAACTCCGACACCACGGATAGTCAGTCCGCATGCGAAAGCGTACACAGGCAACACCCGCTAATACATGCATGAAGAGTGCAGCCATGAGGGCATGTATCAGAGCCGGAACTGTGCCCGTGTACTCACTCGGAGGCGGGCTGTACTATCAGAGCCGGAACTGTGCCCGTGTACTCACTCGGAGGCAGGCTGTACAGAATGTTTGCACGTAACAACTCGAGTGTTGCAACTTTTTCAGCGGCAGCGGTGCAAATAAGGCGCTCCGGATGGTATGGCGGTCGGGATGTGGTGCACGCTTGACATGCTCAGGTGATGCACCACTTCAACTGCGATACACTGCGGGGTAAAGAGAAGAAGCTCCACAAGGCATGCTGATGGCACATACATGTATTTCTGAATCCAGTAGCTTTCTCGTCAAACATTCGTTCCGAACGCAAACGAGGAGCGGTGCGGTCAATATCCCTACAGCCATGGCACGCAATCCGCACATGCTGGATCAGGAATGGCTTGACCTCATAGCCTGTGTTCACTGCAGCGCTCCGCGGATGTGGCTCGAGGGCCGCACGACCTGTCACAATGGAGCGAAGAGGATTCATCCTGGCTATCGGTTCTAGAACATCACGTTGAGCAGCCGTGTTAAAATGTATTACATCACTGCTTAGTGACATTGTCTATGCATGGATGTGAAATATGTTTGTTTCAAGAAGCATGTAACGTCTTTGTAATAGTAATTGTTGAGCCACTGAGCGCGGGAAAGGGTCCAGAGTTGCTATATGTTCTTATTCACTTCAGCTACATTGTTGGCCAAAGAAACCGGACCCATGTGCCGAAAGCAGCTCCTCGGATCCTGTTTTGGAATGTGCATGGTGTATTGGTAATGCACATCGCTGCTTTTGACTCGTAGGTCGGATTTCCTCATTTACTTCAACCATATTTAGCTTATCGTTTGTGTGAAAATGCACCAATCGCATTCATTGCATACCATGAGGTCATGTGTGGATGGTCTTCTTCTTCTGTCTGGAAATCGTACAATTCCTCTCCCTCATCCGGGCTAACCCATCTGCTTGTGACAGTGCAGCCTATCATGAACACACCATGTAATCGTGTCAGGAATGCCTGTGTGTGGAATGCCTGGATGGTCTTCTTCTTCTGTCTGGAAATCATACGATTCCTCTCCCTCGTCCGGGCTAACCCATCTGCCTGTGACAGTGCAGCCCATCATAAACACACCATGCAATCGTGTCAGGAATGCCTGTGTGTGGAATACCTGTGTGTGGAATGCCTGTGTGTGGAATACCTGTGTGCGGCCTGGTGCATGCGCTTGTGCTATGTCCTGCTCTCAGGTGCCGGTGAGTCTGGGAAGAGCACGATACTGAAGCAGATCAAGTAAGCAATCTGCTCTGATCATGATGTCTGTGCACCACTATTTCTACAGTATCCGTTGTCCTGGCGTAACGCACACCCTTCCGTAGTCTATGAGTCATCGGCCAAATGTGCATGATAATGACAACGCCTGAATGTTGCGTGCAGTGTCCGAACAGTAGAGAACGCTGTACTGTTGCAAGACTGTTATGACACTAACATGCCCTCAGTTGTATAAAGGGGAAGTGCATCGATTTTTCGAGTAGGGTTCAGAAGAAAGACAATTTGATATCGGTTCGAATGGCATATATCTCGCTTCCGTACGATAAACCAAACTTGCCAAATCGCCAATTGTATATTCACGTTGCCATAGCAACCAGCGGAGTGATGACGTATGAAAGGCTTAGCTCCATCACAGAGTAGGTCGATCACTGCAGAATTTGGTCATTTTCAATTGGTTTATTGTATTCACGAAGTGAAAGAAGGGTTGTGTTCAATGCTGTTAGTGCAGTGAACAGTCTGTTAGTAGTCCTCTCGGTTGTGTACTGGGACGTGACACCGACAGGAGAAAGCTGGAGTGCGGAGACATCAGCAGACAAGCGAAAATAGTGACGAACAAAATGCTGAAATCTTGGTTGGAACAAATCAGACGTTCAGCATTTCCCCCAACCAAGGACCATGCCGTTTGCACTTTCCACTTCCTGAAGATGGATGTGATGCTCTCTGGCGACTCTCCTATCTCTCGTAACATCTTTTGAAGCCAGGTGAGACGACGGGTGGTGGAGATTGACGAATGAAATAATGTGGTAGGTTTGAAAGTTTGCTGAAAATGTATCAGGAGAGATGGCGAGTACCAAGCATCTTCTCCTAGAGGAAACCATTTCCTAGGCACAGTCAGCCTAGGGAAATGCAGGAGAAGGCCGATTAACAGCTCACCCACAAACAGCATTGAACACAGCACTTCTTTCGCATCGTGAATACAATAAGACGATTGAAAATGACCAATTCCTGCAGTGATCGACCTTCTCTGTGGTGGAGCTAAGCCTTTCGTACGTCATCACTCCGCTGGTCGCTATGGCAACGTGAGTATACAATTGGCTATTTGGCAAGTTTGGTTTATCGTACGGAAGCGAGAGATATGCCATTCGAACCGATATCAAATTGCCTTTCTTCTGCACCCTACTCGAAAAATCGATGCACTTCCCCTTTAAGTCGGTCATGCCACTGTTGTTCTTTGGAATGTATAGAGTGTGATCACTGTCAGTAAGGCTGGGTTCCGGATCCTGCTATTGTTTGTCAGTCCAAGCATATAAGAGTGCCCCCCCTCCCATACGCATACACACAGTCTCTCTCTCTCTCTCTCTCTCTCTCTCTCTCTCTCTCTCTCTCTCTCTCTCTCTCTCTCTCTCTCTCTTTCTCGCTCTTTGTCTGTGTAGTTCGGTAAAGGCTTGATATCCATAGCCATACACAGGTCCAGCCATGGGATTCATGAAATACACTGGCGGTTAGGCGGACCACACAACAGAAGCAAAACTGTCACTTGACTGATTGATGCTGATAATTATATTAGTATTTTGATGATTGTCTTCTTCAGAAGGACCGTGTCTGTCTGTCTGTCAGTCCATGTGTATGTATTTCTAATTCACATTGTATTGCCCCAGTCTGGGTAACTTGGAACAAGTGCTTACAGCATTGTTAGTACTTTCCGATACATGATCTGCACTGGCCAGAGTGGCTGACCTGTGTATGCGCTTGCAGCATGCTGTGTTGTTACTACCTCTGCTGTCACAGTCCCGCTGTCCTGGGAATGGCTGGGATTCACTGTTGGTGTATTTCAAGTTTGATAAACGTATGTGGGGTACATGTATACTGCACTTGACTGCTGCTAATCCTCGCGCTGCGTCATTATCTTTACAGAATAATCCATCACAATGGCTTTAACGATGAGGAACGTGACCTCTACAAGCCTGTAGTCTACAGTAATACACTGCAGTCGCTGGGATCCATACTAAGAGCGATGGACTACCTGGAAGTGGACTACGGACATGCTGACCGAGTGGTATGTGTATGTGTGTTTGTTTATGTGTGTTTATGTGTGTTTGTGTGTGTATGTGTGTGTGTGTGTGTGTGTGTGTGTGTGTGTGTGTGTGTGTGTGTGTGTGTCTCGCTGTTGTCTCCCGCTTCTGGGAGCGACGTGGCCATTTTGTGGCAGTTGTACATAGTAGTAGTAGTGTGTGTGTGTGTGTGTGTGTGTGTGTGTGTGTATCGTTGTATCTATGTATGTGTGCAGGTGTCTATGTTTGTTTGTTTCTTTCTTTCTTTCTTTTGTTTGAATTCGTTTAGAGTACAGGCAATTCTGCCTTCTCACAAGAGGAAAAACCTAAGAACGAATAAGATACTATGACACAAGGAAATATTAAAAAGAAGCGGAACATGAGAATTCCAAAGAATATAAATCAAATGCGTGTATGTACGTGTATGCTTGTATGCGTGTATGCTTGCATGTGCTTGAATGTACTTCAGTACAAGTCCACACAGAGCCTGGGGACTTAATGGGGGAGGACGTGTCTGCCATTGGGCGGTTGAACAGCCCATTGAGTCATCCTTTCAAGCATACTTTTGGATCTCTCTTCCCGCCGGGAGACCCCACGCGAGCATCTTCTGTTGTTATAATGCAGGGTTCTAGCCAGGTCAAAATAGTAGGGGGTCGGGCAGGGGAAACACTTGTCCTGCAACCCTTTTTCCATTTTCCAAAGCCGTCTTGCCACGCAAAATGCATCGTAAGGGGGCAAAACCCTGACTTCACAACAGACAAGTGTGCCATTATGAACCCGCTGCTAGTGACTGTCGACTGCGTTTCCGTTGAATTGCCTGAATAAACACAAAAATCGACAAATGAGTAGGGAGCGCCGTATCTTCACAGGAGGGCGCTCAATCAGAGTAGGGGGGGGGGGGGGGAGGGGGCTGTGTCCCCCTCAATCCATTGGCTATAACCCAGTACAGGTCATCCCTCGTTAGTAGATAATCTCTGGGCCATCGAAAAAGTTGGCTTGTAACGAGACTTATCTTGTAACAGGACTCGTTCTAAGATAATTGAAAATCTCCAACATAGCTCTTCCTTGGATGCAAAAGGTTGTCCATATCTACGAAAACAGATACTATTACGTTGCGTCTTTCTGCGTTATCCTACGTGTTTTGGCCTTGATCCGGCATGGTCAATATTATCTTAAACTGAGGGTTTGGCACTCCAGGAACCTTGGCAAAGGGTCGTTATAACGAATTGTATGTACAAACGAATTATGTTGTAACTGGACCTGTAAACAGTTTTATAGACCACCTTTCACCAGGGGTTTTCAGATTTATATTTACTAATGGGGTTTATGTACTAACCGGACTCGTTATAATGAGAGAGGCCCTGTAATGTGTTCGTGTGTATGTGTGTGTGTTTTACATGTGTGTGTGTGCGTGGGGGAGGAGGGGAGGGGGGGGGGGGGTGATTACCGGGTATGTGTGTGCTTTTGTATGTATGTGTGTTTATATGCGTGTGTGTATGTATGCGTGTGTGTATGTATGCGTGTGTGTATGTGTACGCATGCGTGTGTTTATGTGCATGTGCTTTGTACCTGCGCTTGGAACGCGTGCATTTAAGAATGATGCTCTGGCAGTTTTTGAAGTTATCGCGGACCAAGCGGATGACCAAGCATTCAGCATCCAGCTGCTGGCATCCATGAAGCGCCTCTGGCACGACAGCGGTGTCCAGGAATGCTTTCAGCGGTCGCGGGAGTACCAGCTGAATGACTCGGCGAAATAGTATGTGCAGCTCGTGAAGAGCATTCTTTGACATCTTTCACAATTCTTCCCTCGTATCAAGAACTTTCGTAAATGAAAGACAAGCCAAACTGCTACGCAAAATGCATGAATGCTTTTTACCTTCAATGTATTCAATAAGTAAGGGGAATTTAGATTGGTGACAACAACGTTGTCATTGAGAACTTGGAGAACAGTCAGCCCTTTGCAGAGCTAAAGATGGTTACATTACTGTCGTGCGCCGAAAAACGAGCAGGCTAGAATTTCACCCAGCACGGCAAACCAACGGACACACAGTGACTCAATCGCATACAGTGTAGTACATCACATTGCCAGTGTCTTTTGTCGAGAGGTGGAAAATGTGGTTTTCGAAAACGTCCATGAAACTTGACGGCCACTTCTGGTCTGTTGCGACTCCTAAAAGGAGCCGGCTGACTTGCAACAGGTTGCATGGTGTGCTCTGCTCTGTACTTTTCTCATAAAACAGGAATTGCATGGAAATCACTGCTTTCAAGTTCATTCACATCGTAGACACCTAGTATCTCACGGAGTCCATGGTTCTGGGGAAAGGGAGATAGGGGGTGGAGTGGGGTGGGGGGGGGGGCACAGCCCCCCCCCCCCCCCCCACTCTGGTAGTGCACCACCCTACGTATTTTTAGATTTTTGTGCTTTTTTTCAGTTTTCACAGCAAAGATGTGGCCACAAATACATCATTCCGGGTGCTCTGTGTGCCCGTACCTTGCATTTTGTTTGTGACAATGCAACACTGACAACAGTAGAACATGAAAAACTGTGTGAGCTGTGAATCCCCCCCCCCCCCCCCTCCCCTACAATTTTCCCTGGCTAGAACCCCGGAGCCCAGTGTTCAATCAGCCTGTTTTGTTTTTGTGGCGCTTGTCACCTTGTCTCTGCAGCTTCTTGAACAACTTGGACCGCATCGGCCGTCGCAACTACACGCCCACCGATCAGGATATCCTGCGTACACGCGTAAAGAGCACTGGTGTAACGGAGACACACTTCTCCATGAAGGGACTCAACTGCGTGTAAGTTGCCAGCAGTGAAAGGAGCTACTTCAATGCCAAGTCCTGCCTGGGAGCGGCTTTTCCAGCCGTGCTGCTACCCACAGTCAACTGGAAAATCGTGGCCAGGCACAAGGGGTACAAAAAAAACTTCCAAATGCAGGCCTGTGTACTGATCTGTATGTCAAGACGCTCGAAATCGCATGCTGGTAACTTTTGCACATTTATCGCATCAAGTACATGGTCATGTTCAACGGCAGTTCATTTTATCAACACTCTGGACCGTGACAAAGTCATCGGACATATTTCTTCATCTTCCAGTGAAGCGGATTAGTTGTCAGTCATTGCAACTCTCCTGAAACCAATGGAAAACAACAGCGCTGTGTTAGTCGGGTCATGAAAGTCGGAGAGCAGCAATTTTATCTGTTTTTACACTATGCTTTTTTGCCTTGATGACCTAGACAAAAATGGCATAGCCTGATAGGGATGTTATAAAGTCTTATAAATTTCTCCATTTTTTTAAGACATAACCTGGGATTCGAACCCGCACTATCGCCCTGCATGCATCCCCCGATACACTTCGCATACATACTAATTCTTCCAAGTTGCTTCACGTTATGATCTTGCATTTGAAGGCCCAATTTGAATATGCTTTGTGGCCAGCCGTCTTTGATGGCACGGTACGGTACGGGACAGGTACGGGACAGGTACGGGACAGGTACGGGAGAGGGTAATACGATACCGTCTACCACCTTGATGACCTAGGCAAAAAGCATAGGGATGTTATTAAAATTTTCAATTCTCCTATTTTTTTCAGGCATAACCTGGGATTCGAACCCGCACCATCGCCCTACATGCATTCCCCCATACACTTCGCATTCATACTCATTCTTCCAAGTTACTTCACGTTATGATCTTGCGTTTGAAAGCCCTATTTGAATATTGCGGCCAGCTGTATGTGGCCAGCTGTGTTTGATGGTACGGTACGGTACGGGACAGATACGGGATAGCGCCAGGCGTGACACAAACAAACAAATACCAAATTAAAGCTGTGTGGACCCTGGCTAGCGCCAGACGTTACTGAAGTAATGTCTTCTGCATAGCTAAGGGAATAGAAGCGGTTGACAGTTGACCGGCACAAATTCGCCCTATTCCTGTAGTGGGCAAGTGAACAGGCCACGTTATGACTGTAACAATGGTTTAAAAAAGCTAAAGGCCACCGAGAATGCCTTGGCTCTGTGTTGTGCACCTCAAAGAGCACTTTATTTTTCTGCATTCCTTTGTTTCGAAACCAGCTTGCTGGATGTTGGCGGGCAGCGGTCGGAGCGTAAGAAGTGGATCCACTGCTTTGAGGATGTCACCGCGATTTTCTTCTGCGTGGCGCTGAGTGCGTACGACCTGGTGCTTCGTGAAGATTCTAGCGTTGTGAGTTCCTAGGATGGAGTAGGTGGTGCCTTCCCTGGTGTGTGCTGTATTCAACTGTCGTGAGGGAATTTAGATTGTTGAACTTCAGTGACGGCTGTATGTCCCCCTGACCAACTCACTGGATTAGCTTATGACCGTATGTCCCCCTGACCAACTCACTGGAATAGCTTATGACCGTATGCCCCCCTGACCAACTCACTGGAATAGCTTATGACCGTATGTCCCCCTGACCAACTGACTGGAATAGCTTATGACCGTATGTCCCCCTGACCAACTGACTGGATTAGCGTATGACCGTATGTCCCCCTGACCTACTGACTGGTGGAAGATACTTTGGTTGACTTGTGCTGTTGCTTTTTGTCCGCCATGCCTCCGCTTTCAGAACCGGATGACCGAAAGCTTAGTGCTGTTCCGCTCCATTCTCAACAACCGCTGGTTCGAGAAGACTTCAATCGTGCTTTTCCTGAACAAGAAGGATCTGTTTGAGGACAAGCTGCGCGTATCGCCACTGTCCATCTGCTTCCAAGAATACACAGGTAAAGGGAGGTTATAAAATTTACTTGCCATCTCGCTACCAAAATAACGGATGTGTGTATGCTACGGGGTGCGAGCCACGGCTACCGTAAAGCTGTTAGGTCTCTCAGCCTTCCTATTCTGTCTCTCATCTCCATCTCTCTCCCTTCCTCCCTCCCTCCCTCCCTCTCTTCTCTCTCTCTCTCTCTCTCTCTCTCTCTCTCTCTCTCTCTCTCTCTCTCTCTCTCTCTCTCTCTCTCTCTCTCTCTCTATCTATCTATCTATCTATCTATCTATCTCTATCTCTCTCTCTATCTCTCTGTTATTTTTACACTTCTCGTTTCACAGTAAGTGAAGTTCTTTTGAGCATTTTACAGAGGCTATGCCGAGGAAATGTGTCACTATGAGCAGAGAATGTGGGCAGTCTGCAAAGCCTGGACATGCTGCACACTGTTGAGATCACTGACGTAGCGCTTCTCGTATCCTGTTTTGATGCGTACCCGGCAGGATCGAACACGTTCTACGAGGCGGCCACCTATGTCCAGAACCAGTTTGAGCTGATGAACGACAGCCGCTTCCATAAGAAGGTCTACACGCACTTGACGTGTGCCACGGACACTGACCACATGCGCTACATCTTCGACAGTGTCATGGATATACTAATTATGAACAATCTGCGAGCTACATCATTCGCCTGATGACCTCCGAGTCTCCATCAGCTGCAAGCCATTGTACTCGTCCATTCACCCTCCCCTCCCCCTCCCCCGTATTTGCAACTAGTGGTGTGCAACCAAGCTAGTAACATAGTGTGCTTCCGTCACTCTGTTACTAGCCATTTGATAGCTTGAGCTGGTCCTCTTGAGTGCTTTTGAGGTCTTTCTATCTGCTGCGTGCATTCGTGCTGTACGAGGGGTCGCTCTGGCACTGTACGGCGTGCGCACATGTTGGCGCTGGCCACGTACCGTGTGTGTGTGCTTCTATGATCCAGTGTGATATACCGATTCCTGTATATCCTTTTGCGTAATGCCACTGTACAGCCGGCCATGTACCGGTCAGTTGCCGCCAGTGCATTGCCTCTCGCCCACCAGCTGATTTTACACTTGAAAGTGTTGTACTCCCCGTGAGTCCCGAATATCTGGCCAATCCCGGTGCTGCGGCCGTTCTTCTTTGGGTGCTGGCTCTGCTGGCAATGTTATAGTGCTCTTGTATATTTTCTGTTATAGAGGACATGTCATGTATCATCTTGCTGGCAATCCTTGAGTTCCGTGACGTAATCTGCCTTTCGTCAGTTGAAGCTCGATGAGAAGTTTTGCGTTGTGCAGGGTGTTTTTGCATTGATTTTCATTTTTACACCTCTGTGACGTTGTCATAGCAGTGAACCATCTTGAAGCTGGCGTCTACACCTTTTGGGTGGAATGAGATATTAGTGTGCGTGTGTGTGCATCGTTTTAAAACTGAGATGGAGCGCCAAGAAATACCCGATATTCCTTGGCACTTCATTCGAGTATATTATGAAAGTAGGCTTAAGGGTGTACTAATTACTAATTAGGACAAGTTAGTTGTCCACCAGTATTATAACCCCAGATCATGAGCATCAGAATGTGCATCAAACGGCACAACACTCGAAACGCACATGTTTAGACAGGACTAGCTGTGTTCTGCACACAAATTCGTCATGAACTGCAGTGCAGTTCTTACTAGGACGACGGTTGGAATCCAGAGCAGCTGCACATTGCAAATGTTCCAGGGTACATGTAGCCTCTAGAAGTACTTGTTAAGTTATCATTGCTGAGTACACGGAGAATTCATGCTTGAGAATCACAATGCCGCCAAGGATTCTATCAATACAAAATACTGTATTCTTACATGACACGTGATCGTTGCCGGGGCCATGGCCAATAGGCGATCTTCCCGCCGCGGGCATAATCAGGCCATCAGGACCGTTTGACGTCATTTCGGGAGTTTCAGGACCGTTTGACGTCATTTCGGGAATGTTTGGACCGTTTGACGTCATTTCGGGAATACTTTTTCGACCTTTCGACCTTTCAAATCAAGCACGCTCTGTCATGATGGCTGAATCTTGCCCTTGCCTGCAGCCCTCAGGCCTACGGCCCTTGGGCTGCAGGCTCGGGCAAGATTCAGCCATCATGACCTCCTGAGCGTGCTTGATTACATACTTCATAGAATCCTATATTATATTATCATTATAATTATTTTAAAATGTATTCATAGAATCCTGTATATAAACAGAGTCCAGGTGTGAATTTATTGGTTTGAGAGAATGGTGCAAATGGGAAAACAATCTAAGAAAGAATTGACTGTCCTCACCAGGACTCCTCTAACCAGGGCCCCTTGCTTATGGCCAGCGATACTCTACCACCATCCAAGTGTATAGTCGTCATCCCTCCAAGCAGCCACCGTTCAGTATGGATCAGATCATATCATTTGCAGTCATCACCGAACACACATCACGAGGAAGTCTGATCCAGAGTACCCATAGTTGTTTTCTCGTGAAAATCATCAGTGGTTTCCATCACTAAAAGGCTAAAACCAAACGAAAGAAAATTGCAGTTTCAAAAGCGGATGAAAACTAGCACCTAAGGTGCTACACTACGCTAATTGTAGAGTGATGAATATAAAACATTAGAGTTTAAAAGCCAGTACGCAATTCGTCCTTCTTGTTGCTGTATTGAATGGAGCACTTGTCTCCAAAACAACCGCACCATTCTCGTATTATTTACAGTGCTGACCAAAACCGGCAAAAGTTCAACGCCTTTCAATAACAATGGGTAGATTCAAGTATTGTTTTGTTCTAAATAATATATTTACAGAAATGTTGAGTGATGTCCAGCTGCAATGATGATATGAAAAGGTAGCTACTGATGGTGTCGACGTGAACACGTAGAGCTCAGCCCAATCCAAGGCCTGCCTGAAAGGGGATGATTTCCAGACAGCTGCGAATTAGAAACTCGCACAGCATCATATCGGTGCCCGTAGCAATTCGAAGGTAGACCAGTACATTACCACTTTTTGGGAGCCTTGCTGTGATCTTCCAGCTTTTCCATCCAACACAATATGGCGTCCAGGGGCAAAAACCATGTACCGAATATCACTTGAATCAGACCCATCAGAGGATGACCTGATGTGACACCACTTACGTGCTGTGGAAGTTGTAGCATTCGGGATCGTTATGATGTTCCAGATGTGATTTTTACCATTTTGACCGGCCATCGTAATCTTTTCAAACGTCACCTGTGTAGGTTCCGGTGACTGGAGGAGAAGAACGCGACACGCAACAAAGTAAACACGAAATGAATTAAGCTAGTGATGACCGCAGGCCGGTGGGACAACTACTCGTACTCATGTAGTTGCAGTGAGCATAGTAAGCACATAATATTATTCTCTGCAGTCATTGCTAATCACAGTTTTGTTCGATTCCAGTACTGGTGGTCATCCTTGAGCAGTGCTCCACTCAGTCCCTGCTCCACTCAGTCCCTGCTCAATCAGGGAGTGGAGCAGGGAGTGGTGCTTTCCTGCAGGTTTGCCGAGTCGAAGGTTCGATGGACTTCTCGTGTGCTCTGGATGTCGGTCGTGAGTCAGTCAAGTGTCAAGTCAAGTCGGCGGAAAAGCGCGAGCTCCAGTGTGGGAGCAAACCAATTAAAAAAAATCATCGAAGAAGTCGCAACCACTACTTCGTACTGTTGTGCCCAGCGCGGGCTTGCGACTAGCTGGTTTGGAGGTGACAGCGTTGTGAATGACCGAGGGTCCTCTATGTCTGTTCTCACCATCCAGGAGCGACACTGACTCACGCTGCTATCTGGTGTTCACGAGGTGTTTGTCGTGCAGGAAACGGAACGTCTCTGTAAGTTTGTATCCCTGTTGATGTTGTGCTTGGAGAGTACCATATAAGTGGTGCTCTTCAGGCACAATCTTCCTCAGCCTACTCTGACTCAAGCTCAATTGATGAGAGGTGAATTCCCCAAAACACTGTATTGAGCAGGGAGTGGTTGCTGAGTCGAAGGTTCGATGGACTTCTCGTGTGCTCTGGATGGCAGTCATGAGTCAGTCAAGTGTCAAGTCAAGTCGGCGGAATAGCGCGAGCTCCAGTGTGGGAGCAAACCTATTCCTAAGATGAGGAAACTCAGTTTAATTCATTCCAACTCTGCATAATGCAGTGCAATTTCCCGCTCAGGGTCCATCCGTATATTATATTATATCGATATTTTTGAAAAACTGTATAGGATTGGGCGAACTTCAAAGTTCAAAGGATCAGTAGGGGAAGTGAACTGCCTGAAAAGAGGAACAGAAATGCCAACCACACCAGGATTCGAACCCGGGACCCTGCTTGTCATGAGCGATGCTCCAACCATCCGAGCCATGGGACCAGGCCAAACCTAGAAGGCGCCGACAAGCCTCTAATTCCAAAGGCAGCTCACAGCACGTGCCACACATTCTGATGGTACTCAGGTCCTTTCCCCTCCCCCAGGGGACCAACCACGGTCAGTTTCTGGCACGCACCTTTCAGAAACTGTTTTCCCGTGGCTATGTTCATGAGGTTGACTTTCATTTTGTGTAGCTCATAAACTAAATGCTTGCACAGTGTCCGTCCACATCTAAAAAATTATATTTTTCACAGACGAGACGAACAGGGACCAACCCCCCCCCCCCCCCCAACAAACCAATATCTGCTCTAATAAAATATTGATATTTGTGGATGACCCTTTGGGGGGACTTCAATTTTAATGATATCTAGCATGCCGTCCTGCCGGTCGGACCCAAGAAATCGGGCTGCAAAAGTGCTTTTGGTTGAGAATTTTCTTGAAATAATTGTTGGGATGAGGTCTTTGTAAGACAAAGTAATGGCGCAAAATGCAAAACGATGTCCAGAGCATTGCATATGTGCAATTTTATCAATTGTTAAAATGGCCGCACTTGCTCCTGTCGGAGCGCTAGCAACTCTGTCCGAAGTGAATTTCGACCATGGCACATCGGTCGTGGTAAGGATATAATGTCTTTCTTAGGCTGCCATGGCAGTAGGATGCAAAATTCCATACTCTGTCCCTATGGTTACCATGGATTGTTGCCATGGAATATGTTGTATTTCTCGTCGGCCGAGCGCAGCGAGATAGGCGAGAAATGATTTCTTGCGAAACATTTGCAGTTGCAAATATGGCATCTGGTGTGTTCTTTATTGTCGCTTCTTTTCCTGACATCTTCAGTCAGTTTTGAGTCTCACCAGTTTAGTCACATCTGGCTGCAGCCAACTACCCTTCACTTTGTGTGTTGTCGCCATTGCTGTCTATGTCTCTGTGCGTGCCAGTATATGTGGAGCGAGAATGTAATACGCCTCGTACGATCATGTCTAAAATTTGTGGACTCCTTCATTAGCCCCTTAGCAACAGTCAAGTTTTATGTGTTAGAACAGAGGCCGTGCAGCATGTCTGTGTATGATGGTCCTACCGGTAGGTCCTACCGGTAGGACCGAGGTCTCTGCAAGCTACTGTACAAGTACAAAGTTTCGTTTGGAATTAACTTTCGCTATATTCGTAAGGGGGCACGAATAACTAAAGTTAGTACCAAACTAAAAAAATTTTTTATGAACGTTCGGGGTGACTGACCTCGACCAAAAACGAAATTTAGTACGTAACAAGCCTGCTGGTGGAGTGATCTAACGAAAGATTTCGTGAACGAAAACTTGCACTTATACAGTATAAGAGTTATGGACGCAGGATGGTGGGGCGTTCAAACAGAGGGTGGCCGGAACTGTGGAACACTCGCAATAACACTCTACCCTGATGTTTACCCTGAGTTGATTTGCCCTGAGAGATGTACATAGGTTATGAGCTGCATAACAGCTGTGAATATGTGATGCACTGTGCCAAAGAGACATGTCACCTACGTCAGTCCAGCGACGTGATATTGGGACTGAAATATTCGGATCGACGGCCAGAGGTTGTACTCGTATAGGGGGAGGGGGTTCTGACTCACCTTCTAGGTGAGCCAAAATCATCATTCTCGGACACACCTGCCGGTGCGTCCTCCCACGCCTCCCATACTACTAATGTGTATTTATTGGGTATACATAATATTATGCGTATTCACAGGAAGTGTGAGTTACAAAGTCTGAAGAAAATGTTGAACGGTCTCTGCTGGGATGATGACTACACCATAGCTCAGCGGTTAGAGCATCGCTGGCTACTAACGAGGGTCCCTGGTTCGAGTCCTGGTGGTGACAGTCAATTTTTTCTTCAGACTTTTCCCGTTCGTGTCTTTCCCTCAAACCAGTGAACATATTATTATTATTTTATCTTATTCCACTCACCGGAGAATGTACCCAGTGTGCTGACAGTGCTCAACACCATGGAGGCAGAGCGTAATACAGAACATCAAGGACAATCAAGGCTTGTTTGCTGCTACTTCAAGTTTCATGCTCTCGCAATCATCAGGCAACATGAGGATGGGGTGCCGACCATGCCGGTATATAAGCCAGGAGAGGGTGGGTCGTGTAGCGCTGTGTGAAAAGCTGTTGAGAATGTGGGGGCTCTATAGGTTTCAAGACTGGCGGTGTTATTTTACGATACATGTACACTGCGCTAACATCGCACTGCTAGCTCTGTCAATACCTCTACAGCCTCCTGCCTCCTGCCTACAACACACACACACACACACACACACACACACACACACACACACACACACACACACACACACACACACACACACACACACACACACACACACACACACACACACACACACACACCTTGCTCATTACCTCCTGCCCACACCAGCCACACACATTCTGTGCTAACAGTACACTGATAGCCCTGCCACTGCCTCTACAGCCCCTGCCTTCAACAACCACACACTCCGCACACAGCCTCCTGCCATTGCCTCTACAGCCCCTGCCTTCAACAACCACACACTCCGCACACAGCCTCCTGCCTAAATAACACCGCCAGCCCTGAAACCTATAGAGCCTCCACATTAACACACAGCTTGTCATGCACCAGCACTACAATACCCACCCTCTCCTGGCATATATACCCGGCATGGTCGGCGCCCCATCCTCATGTCGCCTGATGATTGCGAGCTTGAAACGTTTTTGGTAGAATCGTTGAGTATATCTATGGAAACCGTTCCTCTAATATACCCATTACTACACACACACCTCCAATTTACCCAACTACAATACACTACGGTAATACTACTGTAGTAATACGGGGGGGTCGTTCGAGGACGCGCCGGTAGGTGTGTTCGAGAATGACGGTTTTGGCTCAGGTGAGCCAGAACCCTCCATCATATACTACTGGCAGAAAGACATAACACGTTACTCACCTTGTGACACATGGCGAATTTTCTGTCGCTTACGTTGGTGTCGTTGGAAGCCAGCTCTATAGTATATCCCCATAGGTTATTGACAAACGATACTTTTCGGATGACGAACACATTTTCTGCATGCAGAGAAAGAATGTAAGATTCAGATTCAACAACAGCAGAACTGGGCATTTAGTTAGTTGTCAGCCGCCTGGTTTCTGCGGTAACTGAGCCCAATCATCGCCTTGGTTACTGAGACTGTTGTGGTTCGCATTCAGCCTGCACATTGCTCGTACACATTTCCACTGGTACGCACGAATCGGAGAGTTTAGAAATACACGTACGTTGCATTGAAAGGGAACATGGAAGTAAAGGTAAAACCAGAGAGGAAAAGACATGCAGCACAGGAAGCCAAGATGGATCCAAGGAGAAGTACATTGCACACATGCGCACACTCTTAATACAGAGAGTGCTGCATAGCAACAGTAACTACGCACATGGCAAAAGTACCTATGTACATGGTAACAGTAGCTACAATAATCTATTAAATGTGTATGAACAAACGGCGAGAAGACAATAATTTGATAACCGCAATCAATAGGACAAGCTGAATCGACGTTTGTGTACTTTATTCATGCAATGTAAGTCTATGATCGTTTGGTCGGATTCGGATCCAGATCTCAGTCAGATCCGTCGGATCCTTCAAAATCAACCGATCACTGTTTTTTTGGATCTTGGCTGTTGCCATGTTGACGAAGTAAAAAATGGCGTCGACGGGTTACCCAAAAGGGCGAAAGTCGTACTGATCGCGCGAAACGTCAACAAGAGTCGACTGGCCGTATAGCAATGAATACAAAATGATTTTTACCCGCCATATACACACAAAGGTCGTCACATTAGGATCCGGTAGATCCAGTCAATCCTGCTCCTGGGGCAGGGTTGCTCGGATCCAAATCCGATAGATCTGGATCCATATTCGACCAATCGATCACTGCAGATCCAGTGGATCCGACGAATCTGGATCTGGATCCGACCAAACGATCACAGACAATGTGCCAGAAAACGATGAAAATAGGAAGAAATAGTGTAGATTTAAAACTCGGATGTTGAGCCAATAATAAATGTAGAAAGGAAAAGGACATATGGATACGAGTTAAGAGTAACTCTCCATCACTGTAACCAGATACTATATACAGTCAGAAAGTGCAACAACTAGGCACAAAGCCGACAGAGTACTGTCAGAGTACTCCTAACTCGTATCCATAATTATGTCCTTTCCCTTTCTAACGTTACATTTATTATTGGCTCAACATCCGAGTTTAAATTGCACACCTGATGAGCCGTCACGAACCATACGGCGAAACGTAAGTCGTGTGAAACAACTTGTTTTGTAGTCAACTAGTCAATCACAATGTCATGCATGAGGAGTACCGTAGGAGTTTGGCTTTCAGCTTGTACAATTCGTTTTCGCAAAGCTTCCCCTTCTTTACTTATCTTTGATATTTATGAGCCACCCAAGTTGGGTGGTGTGCTGCTTTGCTGCTTCGACTTGTAGTTAGACCGCTTTGTCAAGTACCCTACTGGTCTCATCATCGTCCAGTAACAATCGACATCCTTTGTTCCGGTGGGACTGTAGCTTGTGCTCGTTTTCGTTGCGCTTACCCCTCTTTGATCTTTCCATAACCTTGAACCTTCCGAGTTGGAAGGCTGTCGGTTAGCGCTACGGAGATGTGTTGAAGCTAGGTGTCAGGACGTCGGATGTCTTTAGTACTCTGTCAGTTTTGTGCCTAGTTGTTTAACTTTCTGACTGTATATAGTATCTGGTTACAGTGATGGAGAGTTACTCTTAACTCGTATCCATATGGTTTTTTTCCTTTCTACATAAATAGTGTAGAGAGAAAAAATATACGCATTCATGATTGCTCTCGCTGTCATTGTTAAAATTCACACTTGTAAATTTCACTGCTGTTGTTTCTCTAACTTCGGTTTTCTAGAATAGTTCAATTTTGTTTCAGTGTCCTTTAGTACAACGACGATTCCTGATGAGTGTTGTACGAAAACTTGTTTGAATCCTAATTTTTCTGTACACTATTTCTTCCTATTTTCATTGTTTATTGCACATTGTCTCCACCGTTTTACATTGCATGAATAAAGTATACACAAATGTCGATTCAGCTTGTGTTTTTGATTGCAAATTAATGTGAATGGCTCATAATAATCATCTCACCTCTATGTTCCTGCTCATTTTCGCACTTTGGTGTATAATTTCTTCACTCTTATGATCATGTATTGCTCTTCTGTCATGCAGAAAGGAAAATGACATATGGATACGAAGCTAGGTGTCAGGACGTCGAATGTCTCAGTACTCTGTCAGTGTTGTGCCTCGTTGTTGCACTTCTGACTGTATATAGTATCTAGTTAGAGTGGTGGAGAGTTACTCCTAACTCGCACCCATATGTCCTTTTCCTTTCTGCATTTATTATTGGCTCAGCATACGAGTTTCATATTGCTCTTCTGTACAGTATTATTCTTCAATCATGAAAATCTACCGATGAGAGCGACAAGAAAATCGATTTTGGTAAATCCTCTTCTGAGACTTCGTTGTTGTGTGGCATGACCGCGAAACCGATACTACTTATGCTATGATCCGCGGCATTACAGGGGAAGTTAAGCCTAAAATCTAATTTTCACCAGTTGTAGTCGTCGGGGTGCTGAGTCGAATGGTCTTGGTCCGAGGGAGCTGAGACGCTCCCTTCCTCCTTTAATCCCAATCGAACTCTACGTTACTTGTTCGACGCGTATGTGTATTTTCTAACAATAATATTGAAACCCAGAATCGATTTTCTCGTTCCTATCATCAGTGGGGAAAATACGGAACAGGAAAGGATACCAACCAATGAAACCGAAATGCCACATAAAATCATGATGCAAGTGCAATAAAACCACTAGAGGAAGCGCAAAAAGTTAACACGATTACGTAACCAAAGGTAAGAACTTAACCTTTTGCACCCCGCGCCCGAGTATACTCGTTTTGTAGCATGCCCTGCTTTCCCAAGCCCGAGTATACTCGGGTAGAAAATGTACTGTATGTACAGTGAACTCGGATTGCGTATACCTCGCTATTCAAATATTCGTAACTCTGTTATACTTTCTTCGATTCTCACACCTGACGGCTCGTTGGAAAGCTGAAGGAATAAGCTTTCCAATGGTATGTCGTTTGCTGGGGCGAAAAGTAAAATACCGGAGCGCCGAAGGTGGAAACGCAATTCACGGGCCGAAATACAGGGCACAAAATTTCGCACCTTGGATTTTCGAGTGGACATCGGCAGGGAAGGGACTTTCCCTATGACTCACAGGGGCACAGCCCATGCGTGTTGGGTACCAAAATGAGCGCTTGAACTTCAGGAATCTGAGAGAGTTTGAATTTTTGCTCTGCGCTGAGTAAAACTGTAGAAGCGAAGAAATTTGTGACTGGGTGTGGAATATCTCTTCGAGGCCCGATAGAGGAGCTCTCAACGGAGTGTGAAGGCAACTCTATTGCTCCTGCTGAGTGATTATTCTTTTCGTTTGGACAGAGAAGGCTTCAAGCTTTCCAAAGAGCCCAAGATGATCAACTTCCGTTCCTGGTGAGTGAAGTTAGAATTTTTTCGAATCACAGGTCTGCTCTGCCGGGCGACAGAGAGAGAGGCGCAGCGAGCGGACTGGGAATTCATGGGTTTCAGGCCGGGGTGGAAAAGGTTAAGAAGGTACTGAACGAAGTGTCAACCTACAAATATAGCCTAAGGGGCCGTCCGTAAATACATGTATTTACTTAGAGACGTCTAAGAGGCGGTTCTTTCTTGACCCACCCACCCATACCCAGAAACGCCCCCCCCCCCCAAAATGCAGATAATACCACTCATAATAACCACTATACTATGCATGCATATACAGTACAGACGACTCCACTTGTAACGAACTCGCATATAGCGAATTTCGTGATATAGCGAGCCCTTGTCCATGTCCCTGTTTGAACCCATACAAAATTGACCCGTTATAGCGAACAGTCTCCCCGGCCAGTCTGCCGTGACCTGTGCAGTGCAGTGTAGACTGTAGCGCGTCTCAACGCCTACCTGCACTAGCAGTAGCAGTGCAGAGCGGTGCTACAATGTATTCATCATGTAGACCTCAGACCTCAGACCTCAGACCTGCCCATCGCGGAAGCGATGATAGCGGACAGCTATGTTAGACATAGCAACTTGTGCTGGGATTACACCATTCAACAGCTTGCAAGGCTACATGTACATACACGCGCGGTATGGTATGCATGCACTCCGGAATGTATTTTTTTAGAAACGCCTTTTAGGCAAACCCACCCACCAGAAAGTTAGACGTCTCTAAGTAAATACATGTAATTACGGACGGCCCCTAAGGGCTCGTTTACACGGCAACGATTGAAAAACATTTTTGTCAAAAGCGTTTTCAAAAGAATACGCTTCCACAGATTTTGATAAGAGCGTGCACATGACAAAGCTGAAAAACATTTCAAAAACGTTTCAAACCAAAAACGGCCTTCAAAGTGTTTTTCAATTGTTTTCGTTCCGTTTTGTTCTCGTTTACACGGCAAAAACGTTTTGCTACCATGGAAATGCCGCAGTGGTGTGGCTGGAAATAGAAAAAGCACGAGTGAGCACCGAACTTCCCGCTCTAAATTTGCCGTCGCCAGGCCAACTTATTGCAGGTGACCATTGTGCGGCGAGAAACAGCGAAAAACAGCGAAAAACACGTTGCAGTGTTAACACCGAAAAAGGCTTATCGTTTCGTGTACACAGCAAAAAAACGTTTCAAACATGGAATGAAAACTTTTTTAAATCGTTGTCGTGTAAACGAGGCGAAAGTGTTTAACGCAGTTGCGTGATGTCTGCGGCCTTCATCCTATTCATAGTCATAGTTATGTCTTTGTCTATCACCACTTTTTTTAGAATTTGTTCGTGACATCTCAATAAAACCTTCGTGAAATGACGCTTCAGCTGGTTCTGTTTTTTTGCAATCCTTCAATTATGCCTAAGCCACCATTTTGCTTAGCTCCGTCCATTATGCTGAAACACGGCATGATGCCGAAACCCGCACTCACATGTGTGCATATAATTATTGTGAAAGCTTCTCAGAGACAGGGTGCATGCAGGGAACGAGCCAAAAAAACATCACACACGCCAGCACAGCAGAAAGGTCACACCGACTTACGATCCTTTAAATCCACGGGGTAAGATGTGCCCTTCTGGAACATGAGGCACATTGGCTTGTTAGGGTCCGGTTGATCGACTTTGAAATAGCCCTCTTTATTGGTGTCAGGCAAGAGACCAGTATTGGTGACAGGCAAGAGAATCACTACCACAACGCGGACATCCTGTCCCTGCAGCAAGTCATAAGAGAACAAAACTAGACATACAAAGCCTGACGCTGAAATCAAACCGCAAATTTCAAGTCGAATCGTTTTGATTTCGGTCCCACCCACTTGGATGATCAATCGTCTGGATACTCAATGGCCGGATAATCAATGCTCTATGCGCAACAACAACAGCAGCAACAGCACCAGCACCACCACCACCACCAACAACAACAACACCAACAACAACAACAACAACAACAACACCACCACCACCACCACCAACAACAACAACAACAACAACAACAAAAACAACTACAACTACAACAACAACAACAACAACAACAACAACAACAACAACAACAACAACAACAACAACAACAACAACAACAACAACAACAACAACAACAACAACAACAACAACAACAACAACAACAACAACAACAACAACAACAACAACTAATCTCTTATTAGCCACAGGCCATCACGAGAATAAAGATTTGTTAGCATCCCCCCACCTCACAACAGAGCAACCGAGTTTTGGATTAAGCTGGGAGTGCCGATTCTAGCAACTGGTATGATGGCTCTGCTTGGAGCCGCTAGATGGCTCGAAGCTGAGCCGGCAAAAGACTCCGCTTGGAGCCAGCAAATGACTCCCATGGAGCCGCCGAATGACTCCGCATGGAGCCGCCGAATGGCTCAGCATGGAGCCGCAGAATGACCCCGCATGGAGCTGCCGAATGACCCCGCATGAAGCCGCCGAATAACTCCGCATGGAGCCGCCAAATGACTCCGCATGGAGCCGCCAATGACTCCGCATGGAGCCGCCAATGACTCCGCATGGAGCCGCCAATGACTCTGCTTGGAGGCGCCAATGACTCCGCATAGAGGCGCCAATGACTCCCCATGGAGCCGCCAATGACTCTGAGTAGAGCCTCCAAATGCTGAATATATAGGTATGCATAACCAGTTGAGAGCATGTATTCTCATAGACTATACAGATACCGTCATGTGTGCGCCAGAAACATGTGTTGAGCTAGTGGGTGGAAGGGTGGGAAGGAAATAGTTTGGGAACGCATGTTCCGCAAGTTGCACTCTCGAAAGTCAAAACAGCAATGACATGCAAGAGACATTGTACAGGATCTTGGTGGGCGCGTGCCCACGTGACTCGCGCATGCGCGCAGGTCGGGCCAGTTTGTTGGGCTGCCTGCTAATTTGCGTTAGCATGCTAACGCTCGCAAACAACAAGCTTGCGCATTCCTTGTTTCACCCCTAATGATCAGTCTTCTCTCCTGCACAGGCTTAACCTCCCCACTCTTTACACACTTAATCCCCACTCTTTACAGACTCAACCTCCCCACTCTTTACAGCCGACAAGTTCTCAAGCACTTACTCATTGCTCCGAAATTCACCATAAGCATGAACCCTCACACATCACCAATTTTTTTTCCCCTGTTGTAATAAATTACAGCCTACCCCCATAGACACCCTCGCTCCTATTACCTGACAACAACACATAGTGACCGGCACAAAGGCTCCCCACTCAACATTGCCCTCGACCACACAAGAGTCTGTATAGGATATAGCGTACCCTTTTGCTTTCAGCGCTTTCATCACCATACCCGATGCATCACTACTTCCTCCATTAACAAAACTTCGTGATGGATTTTTGAAGTGATGCAAGAAATGGTGTTTTCTTCGAAAGAATATTCCCTCGAATATTGCTTTTGGCGAACGAACGAATATTCTTTATTCTTCTGAAGTGGCTCAGGTACTTCACTGAAGCAGACCCAACAGTCATGTTGTCAACAGATCACGTGCATAGTAAATATCCACTGGTGAAAGAGCAAATTTGACCAAAGAACAAGCTACACAGTTGTCAGAACATAATTTCTTCCCCACCATCCTCAATACTACGGAGGAGATCATGGTCAGAGCTGCATAATACAGCAACACAGCACGACATTTTGAGGAAAGGAATATTCGAATGGCACTGCCTGCTTTCGAATATTCTTTCTGGTGTAGGTATTCTAGAATATTCCGAATATGCGAATATTGCTTTACATCACTGGATTTTTGAGGGACTGGTTTGCGCACAAACTGCCATGAAATGAGTCGCGATCACTTTCTCGGCCTTCCCTGGCATGCCATGAAAGAGGTACGATGAAAGGAAAGCGACCTTTCACGACAAGCCGAGCGGAATCGATGGTTGCGCTGTGGGAACATAGGTGATGACAGTTATGGCGAGGCGAAACTGAAATAACACTTCTCCGAGGGGATAATGCGCTGCACGCTTGGCCTCTCTGCTACTCTAGCACTGAGTTTGAGAGTGATCGAGAGCGATGGAACGGAGCAGCGAGCCTACACAATGAGCGAGTGAACAAGCAGCTGCTCCGATCGCCCGGCGCAATGAAATAATTCTGAATTCAACTTCTTGTTCAACCTGCGCAAAGCCCAGATTCGAATACTGATGCATGCATTCTTTCAGAAGTCTGTAGTCCGACGCGAGTCTCGTGGCTAAGGAAAGTCGACTGGACTTGCCAGCCATTGCCGTTCAGTGCTGGTAGGAGTATCCATCCAAGAAATTGGAACCAGTTTGGCTGTGCCTTTACTCCCGCGTTTCGCGGAATTCTGGAGAGTGGAGATGAAACCAGGAGTCCTAAAATATGTTTACAACACCGTGGTGGAAACGAGTAATCGCCACCGCAGCGGATCAAGCAGCTTGAAAGCCAACTTGAACGACGGCGACATCACCAAAGTTCAGCGGAGTGTGATCAAAGAAGCCGAGGAAAGGCTGAAACGAGCTGAGCAACGACTCGAGAGAGATGACGACTCGCGTGCAGCAGATGACGACACCACAGGGTCAAAAATCAAAAAGGAGTCGAGCGAAAGCAACGCAAACTGAACTCTCCGCTCGTTCTGCCAACAGTTTCTTTTGTAAAGATGCTGTGCATGGGCTGAAGTATCTTCGTCCAGTGATTTGCAGTCGATACAAACTATTCTTGACCTGTTCTAAGCGTTTTCATATCCATCAAAATTCATCACGAAGTTTTTGTTAACGGAGGAAGTACAAGCGATATTGCATGCACATTGTACACATGACTACACATACATGTACACGAGGCGAGTGAAAACATCCACATGGTCATGTGTGTCTGTACCCGACACTTTACTGCATTATGCACAATGTATATTCTGTCCCCGGGGAAAATTGCGATTCCGCGGCCGCGTTTTTTTCCGCGTTTTAGCGATTTTTTAAAAGACCGCGTTTTCCGCGATTTTCCCGCGTTTTTTGAACTTTTTTGTTGCACTCACGTACACACAGTGCACTGTTCGGTCAGCAACGTCTCATCGTGGCGGCTTTTTACTCAAATTTGACGAGTGCTTACACCAGAGACTTGTAACTGATTGATTTCACTACATACTCACTGAAAATTGCCGCACATCAATATTATTCACCGTCTATTAACCGCAAATTCACTGCAAATTATGCCATATTATGCCGCGTTTCCCCCCCCCGCGTTTTTGGCGATTTTTTTCCGCAATTTTCCCCGGGGACAGTATATTGTGGGAAAGTCATGCCTTTTACAGGAATTTTTTATTTTTTTTACTATTATTCACAAACCCAACTCGTAAAATATAATATTGATGTGTGGACAAAACAAACAGCTACTGAGCAGGGGCTGCACTGGGCAGCAGTGATGGTGAGGTGCACATTCATTGCTGACAATCCACCTGCTTACCACGCATGGCGCTACCAGTGTCTGCTGTAGGAATTCAAACCAAAAGGGTACACGTGTACCTGGCACAGCCACTGGAACCGGGTCAGCGCCGCCGGGTCCGTTCAAGTACACCTACTGCAGGTACATGTGCATCAGCCTACGATCAAGGACTTGTCAGGATTTTAGGGCTCTCTGATGTATATTGTATTCCCTCCTGGGCCGCCCCCATGCCAACAACAAACAGCAACATTATGAAGAATATCAGGAGCAGCAGCTGCGGCGGTCGCGGCAGTGGCAGCAGCAGCAACAACAGCAGCAGCACAAAGTATGGGATTTCTTCCTTACTGGATCCTGGCATCTGTCCTACTTACTGAATCAGTTTCATCTCTCGACCCGCCTGCAGCAGAACATAGGGAAAAGACAGGTTCAGATCAAGAGGAGTGGGTAGTCATCGTGTACAGTCTCATTAGTGCTGTAGATTTTTGAAAGGAGCAGCCAAACGGGGGGGGGGGGGGGGTGAATGTTGTTTTTGGGGGGGGGGAGGCAGAGGGGGACAACAGATTGTGCTGGCTGTATGTACATGTAATAATTCAGTGTCTGCTCCAGAGCCGGGTGAGCGACCCGGTTGGGGGTACTTGGACCCGCTTGGAAAAAGAACACCGGGTCACTTGCGACTCGGTTGGGACTCAATCAGGGAGTCCTATTACTCCCCGATATCGCGATGTATGTTTACGGTAGCCGCACTGGAATGTACCCGGGACTGACCCGGTTGAAGAGCTGAGGGCAAAACCAGATAAATCTAATTCATCGCTTTTCGAATAATGACCCAATAAGGATTCACTTTCTGAGCGGTTTGTATCTAAATCCACATCAATTTTGGGTTTCAGTTTTGAAATGGTTCTTGTCAGATTTTGACTGTGAAATCTTACCCATTGGTGCTCCTAGACCTTTTTTAAGTTGAAAATCTGATTTTCTCAAATTTGGCACTTATCAGGTTTCGCATCTCAGCTCTCCACATGCACAAATAGACACATGCACTGCTGCTCAGTGAAATCCAGTCGCAACTTTCACCAATTGTAATCATCGGGGTGCCGAGTCGATTGGTCTTGGTCCGAGCAAGCTGAGATGCTCCCTTCCTTCTTTATTCCCAATCGAACTCGCCACTTCCACCGAAACTGGGTAACTGCGCCATGGGGATTTTATGCCAAATGTTGTAAAAGCGCCATTTTGTTCCTAACAGTCGTAAAAGGACGGACGACCGCGATTGGCCCACATGTTGTAGACTTTTGGACGCTGTTGTAGTCTTTTGCACACTTTGAACCTTCACACCAAGGTTCAACTCGAGCGACAGGGACGCACCCAAACAGGCTGTCAGTTGTACCCTGCAGGCACGGTGACCATGTGACTGGTGCACACATGAGCACGTGACCGCTCATTCACCCATATTCGATGGGGAATATGGGCCGAACGCTGCATCGCAGCCTTCTCGGACCAAAACCAGTCGACTCAGCGTCCAAAAGACTACAACATACGGGCAAATCGAGGTCATCCATGCTTTTATAAGAACGAAATGACGGTGACATTTTGCATACAAGAATCCCCCTCTAGTAGAGCGCAGCCACCCTGGTTCGGTGGAAGTGGCGATTTGGGAATAAAGGAAGAAGGGAGCGTCTCAACTTCCTAGGACCAAGACCATTCGACTCAGCACCGAAGACTACAACTGGTGAACGTTTGATTTTAACCTTTACTTCCCCTTACATTAAGTTTGAGCCTGTGCCGTTTCGCAGTCCAGTATTCGCTCCAGGGCTGCACCACGCCCGGCACGTACTTGAGCGACACGATTGGATTTTTCATTGAGCAGCACTGCAGATTATTCGAATGACATCATGCCATGCATGCACATGTACTTGCATGTTGTGTATTGAGTAGCAAATAAGCTCATTGCCAAATATGGAAGGTATGAGTAATGCATGTGAGTACACTGGGATCAGGGATGCACTGTTAAACACCCCAGACGACCATGCACAGGTGGCTGTGTGGGGTGTTTATGGTACAAATTACGTCATTGCGCAATGGGCTTATAGCGCTAGTTTTTTATCAGTGATGCAAAGGAATATTCGTGTACACGTACTCAATCTGCGCAGGCCCGAACGTACCTTGCCAGGGTGCTCCAACTGACAAGTCAGTGAGCTCTGCATGACGCAGGCAGCAAAGGCACTACCCCACACACGAGTGCTCAACTGCTACGGGAGCAGGAGCGTAATCATGACTCAATTTGCGCTTGCATGTTGTGTATTGAGTAGCAAATAGTGCTAGTTTAACCTTTTATTCAGCGACAAACTCGGGCTTGCAGTGCCAGCTTTCCACACCACCGTACACAGATTTTTCAAGTGAGGGCGTAATCACATAAACGACCTCTACCTCACGACCTCCTGGGCCGCTCCCATGCCAACCTCATCCTCAGTGAGTGCGTTCGATTATGCCCGAGAATCACGAATCACCCCAGGCTATTCACATTCACATTGTTTGCGTTTTTTTTTCATTGATGTAGATGTCAAAAGGAGATTAGGCCGGATTTTTGACTCTTTCCTCTACCAAAATGGTACTGTTTATACAATACAACTGTTTTCATTTGATGTAAATAGGGTGAATGGATTCCGAACCAATCACAGGGCTGATGACATGAATTCGAACGAGGAGATTCCATTCATGAATCGAACGCACCCAGCGTTCTTCAAGCTTTAGGACCGCAATGCCATAGCTTGAGCTACGCATGTGGGAAACCTACCACTGCCATAGTTGCTGGACATCGCTTCTGAGCTGTAGGCTTGTGATTACGCGCCAAACTCGCTATCTTGGTCGCCTACGACAGCCTCCTGGCCTCGGGTAATCCACTAATACCTCCTCCTGCGTCGCGCCAGATCACCCACGTGTTGCCTGATTTCTAACTCAGCGACCCTGCTCCTGCTGCTGGAGTAGGTCTTATCCGACCGACCAAGAACGTCGCGAATGCCGCAAGAGCTAGAGGTAGATCTACCTCATGAGCTCAGCTCAACACGTGAACCCTCGCTTGACCTGAGCGCTAGCGGACAATCACTGACGAAAACATGTACAGAATCGATCAGGACAGTACCTGGACTGGAGCATCTCTCTTCGTTTGCATTCAAAGGACTTTACCGGCGCGGCATTCATTTCGTTGGAAAAAATACCTCCACCTACGTTTTTCAGGTGGCATGGTAGATCTGCATGGTACCCGCAGACCTACGGGGGAAATGAGTGCTAAAATCTCTGCCCAACAATAAGATTAGTAACCTAGTAGTAGTACAGTACAGCCTACACTACATACAGGCTACAGCATGTAGTAGTACAGGTCAAGTCAGTACACATGTGACATGCTACAGGCCACGTGATCAGATTTCATTGAGCAGCATTGTACTCTGTTTTATTATTTTATTTTATTTTTTATACTTAGTATGTGCTAGCCATTGGCGGACTAGGGCATGTTCGATTGGTAGGATTGGGATCCCGATCCACCGGATCCACTGGATTTGCACCCTTTCGATTGGTCGAATCCGGATCCGGATCCTTCGGATTTGGATCCGGTCAACCCACCTCCGGGAGCAGGGTTGACCGGATTAGGCTGTCCCCGGGGAAAATTGCGATTCCGCGGCCGCGTTTTTTTCCGCGTTTTTTGCGATTTTTAAAAGACCGCGTTTTCCGCGATTTTCCCGCGTTTTTTGAACTTTTTTGTTGCACTGCACGTACACACAGTGCACTATTCGGTCAGCAACGTCTCATCGTGGCGGCTTTTTACTGAAATATGACGAGTGATTACACCAGAGACTTGTAACTGATTGATTTCACTACATTTATAGGTTAGTGCATGGCAGGGAGGGCCTTATGGCTTGTTAGTGCCCGACAGGTTAGCCTAGCGGGGCCGTAGGTCCGAGGGCTAACCTGAAGGGCACAAACAAGCCACCCTCCCTGCCATGCACTAACTATTTTAGAACGAGGTTACATGCATTATCTCACTTCCATTATGCTTGTGTACCATAATTATTGGGTAGTTTTGTGGTTTGTGTGCAGAGAGACTACATGTATGTAGCTTGTGGAGTTATTTAGGGGCTTTGAGAGCCCCTTGTCGATAACTCTAATGACTTTGATCCTCGCTTTTTATAGGTTTCCGCAAGCTTTGACAAAGAAAATTCGTACAGTTTTTTTTGTTAAAACAGCTCCTTTTTGAAAATGTTTTCGATGAGTGATGTGTCGCTTTGTTTTGCTCTAATTGGTGCTTTTCTCCAATGTCATGCAGTCGTATTTATTCAGCTTTTATTTCTTGTGTACTTGCATACTGGTATTAGTTTAGTCCCACAATCTGCGATAAAATGATCCGTTGTAGCACCTACTCCACTTTTATGTTTATGTATCTATGTCATTCGGATCTTCCCAAGTTGTACAATGTACTGTTGAGATACCGAATTCAAATAAATCAATACCATACCATACCATACGGATGAAAGAATACGGGAGGCAAAAACCGTACACACTTCTGAATTGCGTAGCTTTTAGTAGTACACCGTACACGTTATGCAGAGTTCATTATCTGCACCGTACTATTATGCATACAGGGAGTTGTACGCACCAGTTTAGAGTATATTCAGCGGGCTTTAGTAGTAGTAGTAGTAGTATTCTTTTATTTTCCATCGGAAGCCTCAACAGTGATGAACACAACTCTTAAGAGGGCCGATAACAGAGTAGAGGGGTGTGGGGTGAGAAAAAAAAATAATAATAATAAGAGATATTTAAACTAAACTAAACTGATACTTGGAACAATAAAGCAGCAGTAAGCAGTAAGCAGTAAACACAGGTATACAATGCAAGCGATGCAGATCAATGAGGCCGTTTGCTGAAAAGAAGATCAAAATACTTCTGAAAAGACGCTGCGTCTTTAAGCATGGTCATAATGGGATAATGCAATTATTTTATTATTTTATTATTATTCCACAATCACGATGACATAGTGCCAATAAGCATGTGATGCGGGCGATTTTAACCAGCCATGGTGGGGACAACTGAGAAAAAGAAGGAGAAAAAAAGAGAAAACAAAACAAAACAAAAGAAGTACTGGAGAGAGCAGTATGAAGATTAGGCTAGCAATGGAAAACAACGAACTCAATTCAATTCGACTTAGGCGCGGGCAGAATGGAACAAAATGCAGCGAAGGTGTCACGAGACTTTACCTCCTGCGGAAGCCGAGACCAATGAGAATAGGACTTGAACAGAGGGGATTTTAAAGGATCGATGATCTGGCAAGTGGGAAATGGAGAGAACATCTAGTACGCGGGCTATTATTGAACCAGCTTAAATGCGCAAGTGCATGAGGAGGAGCAAGTTGAAGCTTAATACGGTGAATGAATTTGCAGGCCGAGTGGGGAAAGCGTTCTGAGAGAGGGGAAGAGGAAGCCAAAATGTATAGCGTCTGAGAGGAGGTCAGAGGGGGCATGCGAAATATTAATCGAAGTAATTTACGGTGGGTGACTTCTAACCGATGCATAAGAGCGGAGGATAGACCGGAGGACCAAACGAGAGAGCAGTAATCAAACAAAGGAAGAACATAAGAGTGATAAATTTGTATTCGACAACCATGGTGTAGATGGGAGATGTGAGGAGAAATGCAGCCTATCGCGGAGCAAACTCGCTTTTCAATATAGGTTACGTGCGAATCCCAGGACAAGTGTTCATCAAGAAATATACCAAGGTGTTTGTGAATTTTAACAATGTTGATAGCAATGGGATCATCAGGGAAAGTAAAAAGCCGAGTCGTAAAGAGGGTGAGGTCACTGGGGGGTCGTGGGGGGATACAAAGGATTGCCGTTTTCGACACATTGGGGCGGAGTTTCCACTTCGACATCCAGCGCACAACTTGATTAATGTGATACTGTAGCGAGTCGCAGGCTTATAATAATCCTGGCTCGGTTATATGGAGCGCTGTATCGTCCGCGTAGAGGGAGGTATGATCCAAACCTGCCAAATCATTAACGTATACGATGAACAATAGAGGCCCCAAGATAGAGCTCTGGGGCACTCCAGAGTGGACTGTTAGAGGGGCGGACAGGGCATGACCAATTCGGACACTCTGTCGACGTTCAGTGAGATAGCTGGTGAGCCACTGCAGACACGTCCAGACACGTCCCGCCAAACGCTGCTAACTTATGGAGGAGACCCCTTGTCCAGACAGTGTCAAATGCTTTGCTCAGGTCGAAAAAACATAGGAGGCTAAATTGCTTCTGATCCTTGCATTCATAGAGCTTCTGCACAAGCCTCAGCAACTGCCAGGCGGTCGAATCGCCTCGCCGAAATCCAGACTGTGACGGATCAAGGACCGGGTTCACATGTTGGTATAAGTGGCCAAAGGCCACACGTTCACAGAGCTTTGAAATGGTGGAAAGGAGTGAAATCGGCCGATAATTGGATGCAGACAATTTACTGCCTTTATTCTTGTAAATAGGCACAACCACAGCTGCCTTCCAGACATCAGGGAAGATTCCGGTGACGAAGGACTGGTTGAAAACTAGGCTGAGAGGGATAGCTATACTAGGAGACAGGGCTTTTAGGAGTTCATGGGATATGCCATCTGCACCTGCCGCCTTCTTGGGCTTTAGGCGACGGATGTGTTGGGCAATGGCGGTGGGAGTAGTGCTAAAAGAGGGTAGTGCTGGGAGCCCGTGGTATGGAATACCAGGAAGAGACCAAGCAGGATCATCCGGTGTTCCAAAGCTGATGAATTGGCGATTCAGAGCATTGGCAATCTGAGTAGGGTCGTTGTGTACTGTGTTATTTTCATGGAGTTCAGTGATGATAGGGTTTCCAACAGGGGTCGGCGAACGAAGCTGCTTAACAAACTTGAACAAGCTAGGGGTGGGTGCAATAATGGATGAGGGGTTAGTGCTAATGGAGGACACATACTGGCGGTGAGCCTCTCTAGATAGGATTCGTGCTCTGTTACGTTCGCACTTGTAATGCTCGTGATTGCTAGGGGTAGGATACTTGCGATACAAGCTGTACGAGTCTCGCTTCCTCTTCAGCTGAGCTTTAACAGCACGTGTCAGCCACGGGGGACTTGGTGTACGTCGTCTAGGGGCTGAAGAGCGCGACCGGGTGGGTAGGAAAGTGGAGCATAGACCATGAAGGATGTCATAAAATGCTGGAGCAGTACGGTTTGGATCTCCAAGCTTCAACTGGAGAGCAGCATGCCAGTTCACAATAGCAATGGATTCATTTAGAGCAACTAGGTGAGTGGGAAGAATGGAGGAGATGTCAAACTGACTGAAGTCAGGTATCTGGAAGGAATGGGAGGGCAGTGTAGTGTTGGGTGCAGGTGGTGATGCGGTACATGTCGGGATGCACAAACGGCCAAGAACAATTGAGTGGTCCGACTGACGGAGAGGGGCTGAGGGGCGCGGATCGCAGATGCTGGCTGCAGTGTCAGTGATCATCAGGTCCAGAGCAGCCTCATTGCCTTTGTGGGAGCGGTGGGTCGAGAATGTGACGTGTTGCTGCAAGGAAAACATGTCAAGAAGACATGAAAGTTGGTGGCCTGCAGTGTCTGTTGTTGTTCCATACCAGGTGGAACATTTAGCATTGAAATCTCCCATGATGAGGACTGGCGAGCCAGGGGTCCGTATTTTAGTCAAGCAGCTTTGAAAAGAGGCATAAAAGTTATCTATCACCGACGGGTCGGTGGACGGTGGGCGGTAGACAGCCGCAATTTGGATGGGCTGCTGGCGCGTGGGGCAAGCAGAGGTTCCAGTGGATGGCGAGATGTTTTTAAAAACGAATTTAAACTAGGAACGCAGTAAACACAGTTATACAATACAGGCGGTGCAGATCAATGAGGGAGTTTGCTGAAAAGAAGATCAAAATACTTCTGAAAAGACACTGCGTCTTTTAGCATGGTCTGAAGGTGCTTAGCAAATGTAGTGCGGTGCTGGGTGCGCCACTCCACAGGCAAAGAATTAAAGAACAGGGCAGCACGATTTGAAAAGGAATTGACACCGTCAGTCGTCCGGAATTTAGATATTGCAATAGCAGCATTAAAAGAGCTTCTTGTTGTCCTAGGGCCGGTTGAAACTTGAGGGAAAAGGTCTCCTCGCTAACTAATCCAAGGCCCTCGACGCGTCATCAAGAGTAGTAAA